TCAAACAAGCCTACTGATGAGTGTAGATGACGTGGTCCTCACAGTTAACTAATCACTCATTCTTGGACTCTCCCCCTTCTCACACACATTAGGCTATAATGGCGAACTCACTCCTTCGTTTTACAACATGCCCAAAACAAAACAAAAAATTTGCGGGTCGCGCACAAGTGAGTAGTTGTAAAAAATACTCGCTGACTCAAAAAATGGTCACAAAATGGAGCCCTGCCAGACCAAGCCAGCCAATGCCTATCAAAAAAGGGTAATAGTTAACAACTGTAAAAATGTAGCCACTTACTCACTGGGTGCTACCTAGGGGGAGACTGGTGGGTTGGCACAATGTTTCCACAGCAACACCGTTGGGTTGTGACGGTGTTACTGGCAGTATTGACTGAATAAACAGCTCCAATAGCTAATCTAAGCTTCTACCACACCAGCTGCGTGGTGCAGTAAACAGAAGAGTAGGAAAATGAACCTATAGACCAACATGCATAACTGGTCCAAAATATTCTTGGTTGTTAACTGTTTGACGGGTAACCATTAACATTTAACTGTCATCATCCCTCCTCCACAGCTATGACTCCTTGCTAGAAAGTTTTAGGCCAAGTTAGGAGCTCTCTGAGAGTGTTCTCAGGATGTTTGTGAATACGGCCCCAGGTGTATTAATTGATTGACTGAATTTATCTGATAGATTAAAATACAGTACACAAATGTGTATCCAGTACTAAAATTCATCAGGATATCGCGATAAAGTCATAGCACATATTTTCATTGTGGAAAAAACGAGTACTGACGGGAACAGACGAGTGGAGTCGATGTTTAACCGGCACGGAGAGCGCAGGAGAAATGCGCTGCCTGTGTGGACAGTCAAGCGCCTGCGAGTACACTCGCAGGACTTCCGTGGCACTAATGCGCTCACCGTGTGTGCCCAGACACTCTTAATTATAACAGCCAACTTATTGAAAAATGCCGGGTTTAAATCGGTCTCGGGCCCATAATTACAGTTAATTGGACAGGCCGGTCCCGGACACAACGTGCATGGGCTCAGGCCGGGTCGGGCTCCATTTTTTGGGCCCAATCTAAGCTCTACTTGGAAAGGATGTGTCACTTCAATAGCTTACTCAGTGTCCATTTTTTCAGCAGTGCTTTAAAGCTATTCAGAGAATGGGCAGATTTAATTTAATTTTGGATTTTATCCCAAATGTGCTCCTCCCTACCAGTATTGTTTTCGTTAACAATGACAATGACGTAATGATTTCATTAACGCACCTTTATTTCAGGACTAAAATGAGACGGTGACGAGCTAAATATAGCTTTCTGATGACGAAAATATGACGAGACGTATGTGTTGTTTTCAGTGACGAGACAAGACGAAAATGTTAGTGGGTTGACTATCAAAATGTATGATATTTCCTCCAACTGTGCATGCAATCTGTTTGCCAAATGCTCAAAATATAAGCACCTGCATCTTGTCCTTGTTTGGTCACGCTAGGGTGACCAGACATTCTGAAAAATTCGGGACAGTCCCAAAATCAAGCAGTTGTCCTGAATCCCTGCCCTAATTGTCCCGAAAATTACACTAGAGCAGCTTCTGGAGTAGTTATTGCCTGATAAAACATTAAAAACTGATCATGGTGGTTGAGTCATCTTGCAGCTCCTGCCAGCAGCACATTGGCTGCAGCAGTTCCTACATGAATTATGGGTGTTGTAGTTTTTAAATTCTGTAAGGCAGTGGTGATGAAGTAGCTGAAGAGAGCGCAAGTTGCAGCCGCAAGGACAAGCAAAGCGCAGGCAGCCATGGGAAGGAGTGATTTGCACGTTGCAGTGCAGCCTCTTGTTCTAACTGTTCAAACTTGTTCTACAAACTGATAGGCCTGTAACGAATGTACCAGACGTCTTTTATTTTGTTAGCTTTTATTTTTTTTATTGAGTTTAAAGGACAAGTGTATTTACATTGATCAGCTGACATGTCATGACAGTCAAGCTAGGGCTGCACGATTAAACGTAATAAAATTGTGATCTCGATTCATATGCATATGTGATCTTATTTTTCAATGACGGCGATTCTGCCGGCCCTGCCCATACCGGGAGTCGGGACATCATCTGCATGAAAACAAGCACTCCCAACGACGCAGCGTTATACCATGTGATGCAGAGCGACAGCCGGCCAGCAGTTTGGAAAGCAACGAGAGCAGGAGAGAGCCAACAAAGTGAGGAGGACCCCTTAAAAGTTAACGTACTGACACTCCTCACACAGACACACACACACATACCGGACAGCCTCTCAGTCCTTAGCCGCTAACGTTAGCTCATGTACAACACAGGTACCACACAGAAACTTTTACAAAGGGTCATAATGTGCTTCTAGTGACTGTCAAATCGCCAGCGAACGTTGTTTACACAGACACAGAGAGCAGCGTGCCTGCTCTCATGGGACAAAGATCCTCTGAGAAGAAAGACGGTTCACTCTGCTCTGCCACCAGGAACAAACTGGGAGGCAAAGATCCTCTCTGAGGAAGAGGGTTCACTTTGCTGCAGGGTTCACTAAAACGTTTTTTTTTTTTGTTTTTTTTCTTTTAATAAATTGAACACACATTAAAGAACATACAAGATCCTGTAGAGAATTAATACATAATTACAATACAATAAACATTGTCAAATTAAATGAAGGAAGAGAATTTTTTTAAAGGCAAATTAAATATTGGGGATTTATGTAAAAATATACAGAGACATATAAATAATTATATAATTAAAGATATGTAGGCTATGTTAGGTGAATACTCCTGTCAAATGCATGGTGTTGAAACGTTTAATTTTGATCTTCCTTAGTCCATTTAGACTTTATTTTATCATAACAATAACAATGAATATTATGAATTGTTCACATTTTAATTTATCTTTAATAACATTTATCACACAGCATTTTGTGGAAAAGTCAAATGTTCAGTTTACAGTTTTAATAAACTCAGTACTGTTTTTCAACACATACACTGTTTTGTCTTCATTCAATGTAATTAGCACATATTGTTATTGCGCCATTGGTTTTGGCCTTGGTGCCCCACATTTTGGCCGTGATGCCCCAATAAATTTGTATTTATCAAATGCCGAAGTGGCCTGGAATACCTACCTCAGAAAAATGTTGTTCAACATTGATATTATTGTTTAAATTGTTCAAAAGCTGTAAGAGAAGACAAGAGACTAAAGTTTATTGTTTTTACGGTCAGTGTCAGGCTGTCAGCTGTTGCATTTAAGCTAAAAACAGGAGTGTTCCCTCTCTGCTGACCAGAGTTAGAAAGCAAGCGTATTTTAGTTTGTGTGAATCAGGGGATTTTAATTCGAATTTTGGCGTTTCCATCATAATTTTCCAATGCGATACTTCTAGATGCGCATCTAAACAGGCTGATGGAAACATGGCTATTGATTCCACTCACTGTTACCACTTTATCTGTGTTTAAAGCACTATTCTTAGTAGATCAGTAAGTACAACATGACAGAATTGCATCTTCATGGATGGGGAAGTCTAGGCTAGAGCTATTAAACTGGTAAGGAATCTGGTTATTATACAAAAGTGTTAAGAGAGTTAACTGTTTATAAATTGCAACACAACCTGTCAACCTCAATTACAATTTCCTTTACCTGTATTGGCCTAATTTAATGATTTCAGAAATTAATGACTAAAACTGGACTAAAACCCTTTAAGTTTTCGTTTACTAAAACTAGACTAAAACCTTTTGAGTTTTCATTGACTAAAACTAGACTAAAACTATCAAGGATAGAAATGACTACAATGTGACTAAAACTAATAAGCATTTCGTCCAGAAGACTAAGACTAAACTAAATCAAAAATGACTGCCAAAAACAAAACTGCTCCCTACTTTACCAGGACACTCAGGTTGACACTTACCTTATTCACAGCTTACATTAAAAACAAAAGGCTGTGTTCAATTTCAGTTTGACCTTCAAATACAAAGGTTTAGATGATCTAAATAAATTGTTGCTTTGTTTCCAACCCCGACTGCTCGTGCTTGCTGTTGGGCTTCATTGTAGGTGTTACTGTGTTCCCTGTTCACAACAATTACTTTGGTAAATACAATGCTATCGTAACTGATAGAAACAATGGACAAAACTATAAAAAAAAAAAAAAAAGAACCAAGTGGTAGTAAATTTAAAATGTCCTACGGTGTGTAATAACAGACAGCAAGAAATGTAGGAGTCAGTTCTTGTAAATCTGAGACTCTTTTTTAACCATACTACACATTGTCATGATCCTGGGTTTCTGTTTCTATTCTGATCTATTGTGGACTTCGTTTTGGGGTTTTCTGTTTGTGTTCTCCCTTGTTTCACAATATTCATTTCTGTTTAATCTGTTTCCTGTTTTATTTTGAAGATTCACTCCTCGTGTCATGTCTAGTTTTACTTTCTGTCTTTGTGTGTTTTCTGATGCACCTGTCTTGTATCAGTCCATTAGTCTTTTCCCTACCACACTCTCATTGTCAGCCAATTCCTGTGTTTCCCTCCTTTTGCCCATGACCTCCTACTCTAGTTGTGTTTTGTTCTTGTGATCAGTCTTGCCTGTGTATATATACCTGTGTCTTTCCCTCTGACCTCTGTCAGCTCGTCTGTGTTAATCCCTGTGTTCATGGTGTTGTTCCCTGCTTCATTTCCTGCCTGGTCTCTTGTGTTCCATTTTGGATTTCTTCCTTAAGTTCACCACTGTGTTTTTGTGGTACCCAGGCTGGTTTAATGAAAAACTGTATAGAGTATGCAGAAACACATTTACTTCAATGTGTATTTTTCCAGTTTCAGTGCTTTCTGCATCCTTTTGCCTTTGGGCTTTAATTATTTAACGAACCTACAAAAGGATCCTTGTTGTGAGAAAATTCAACTTTTCAAAGACAAATGATTAAATTTTCTACCTGGTTTGGCCAAAACAGATACAAAGAAGAAAAAGTGAAAACAAAACACATTAAGGAGAGAAAATCAAATTTAAGAAGTGGTCAGACCTTGAGATCCATGACGATGGACTGGACCAGGAGGAAAATGGTTGAGTGATCCTCCCAGTTGATGTAAGTGGAGGCTTTACATAGTTTGACACAGGCAATGGCAGCACTTTCCATCAGCTGCTTGCTGCCGCCCTGGCCCGCTAAAGCTTTCCGCAAACTATCCAAAAACAGTTTCTGCAGACATGACAGGACAGGAAAGTGTGTGAGTGCTCTGAGTCATTTTCTGATCTGTTTGTGTGTGTGTGTGTGTGTGTGTGTGTGTGTGTGTGTGTGTGTGTGTGTGTGTTCTTTCCTACCACCTTGTTGGCTTTGCTGTCTTCCACAGTGTCTTTGGAGATGGTGTGTGTGATCTCTGGACAGAGGATGAGGAGGATGATTTGTAGAGGCCACACAGCTGCCTTCCTCTTAGCACTCTCTGCAAAGCTGTCCACCAGGTCAAACAACTTCTCTGCAGCTTCTGAGCACACCAACATGCACACCGTTACTGGCAGAAACGTCACATTCAAAGTCCCTAAAAAATCATTACCACAGTCATGTTCAGTATCACAATAACTGCCACTAACATCCAAGAAAGATTTCATTTGCAGCATTTGAGATCTGTCTACAATGACCACATAATCAAACTAACAAAGCTATTATTTAAATCTGCTTTTTTGAGTTAGTAAATGAAATGTCACTATCATTGGATTCTGGTCCCAGTCCATAGTGATTAGTTCAACAATAAATATTTGCCTATTCCCAGAAAAGGTTAAGTACAGTGTAGAGTGTGAGAGTAAGAGCAGGAGACAGAGAGGAGTAGTAGGACTACGATAGTAAGTTAGTAGTTTACAGTGTGTACAGTAATAAGACATGTTGTGTTGTGACATATCCGCTCAGACCAGTCCAGTCATGAACTACAGCATGGCCCATCAGTAAAGGTGAAAGCTTTGTGGGGATTGGAATCACTGTCACCTCTTAATCATCAGCTGGGAAAAAAGGCACTTCTGGTCATGTAAATGTGATGGGAGCCATTAAACCCACTGGTGTAAACAATAAACTAACTTAACTAACTAACTTACACATGTGACTCTGGTTCTGAAATTCCTGGATTCCTATATGAACTCAAACAGCCTATATTTGGGACAGGCATCTACACGGGACAGGCCTTAATTGTTTTCATCCAAAACTCTCGCTCAGCAAACTTGCGAAATACTATTTATGTGCTTATTCAAATCAATATAAATATAACTTGTATTACTAGAAGTACTTCCCCGCGGTTGTATGCCTCTGCATGCCAGAGTTTCAAGTTTCAAGTTTTCATTTATGTCTGTGAAAACATGGATGCTTCACACACATCTTCCCCCCGGCAGCACAGAAGATCTATACAATATGTACAGTTTCAAGGTGGACACCCAAGATTAGAGTCACCAATTCAGTATCTGACCAAATGTCTCCCCTTCTGTTCCCAAATTATGACATTGCGTAATGGCCAGAAAAGTGTTTTTGAAGAACATAATGATGTCACAATGAAGATGACCTTTGACCTTTTGGATATAAAATGTCATCACTTCATCATTTTATCCTGTTAGCCATTTGTGTGAAGTTTTGTCATAACCAGCACAAGAATTCTTGAGCTATGGCCAAAAAAATGTTTTGTGAGGTCACAAAACAGGCTGCTCACCTGTCTTTTGCTATTGTGTACTTCCGCATGACTCTTGTGTATTGTTGCGCCTGCTGCTATCGGTGCTACTATACTTGTGCTACTATGTTGTTCGTGATATGTACTGTCTGTGCTGCTATACATCTGCACCTTATTTGTCATTGTGTTGTGCGTCCAATATGGCTGTAGTGCGTTGATGGACTGGATTCTGTTTTGTGTTATGTTATTGTTACTTTTAATATATTCATCTTTCAGGTTTGTGGTTCTCTATAACATCTTCTATATCATCATGACCTCTTACTCTCCTACTACTCATCATCTATAACAACTCTACTGTAATGCAGCCTTTAAATCTAAGAAAAGACAACACTTACACTATTACCATATCCAAAATCAATGACCATATCTAATCTCATATCATGATATTCATATAATATCTATATATTGACCAACCTTAGTCTATTGAACAAAACATCAACTACAAATCATTCATTTGATTTACCTCTGAGCTACATCTAGGCCAACCTCATGCACTGAGGGAGAGAGAGTGAGAGAGAGCTGTCCTGCTTCACAGCGCTGACGGCAACCAGACCCAGCATCTTATTGAGATCCATGTATATTTGTCAAAATGGGTCACCACAGCCGGTTGGTAAAAGGGACTCTGCGTTTAATTAAGGCTCAGCTTTTCACTGAAGTTTTACAGTATCTAGACAACATGGCTAACAGGTGTCTGTTGAGACAGTCTAATCTGACAGAGCCGTCAGGAAAGTAGGAGTGACAGTAGCCGCAGAACATTTGTGTCTGTCTGGGATACCTGCTCTGAATTTGTGAAGTAACACGTCCAATCTAAAATGGTCTCTTAACTTGCTCGTTAAACTCTAAAAAAACAAACTTAATATATTAAACTGATTTGAGGTTTCAAATGCAAATGAGTCTGTTCTGTACGACATCTATTGCACATCTGTCCATCCTGGAAGAGGGATCGCTCCTCAGTTGCTCTTCCTGAGGTTTCTAATGTTTTTTTTCCCCGTTAAAGGGTTTATTTGGGGGGAGTTTTTCCTTATCCGCTGCGAGGGTCCTAAGGACAGAGGGATGTCGTATGCTGTAAAGCCCTGTGAGGCAAATTGTGATTTGTGATATTGGGCTTTATAAATAAAACTGATTGATTGATTGATTGATTGATACTGTGGACAGGGGCATTTTATCAGTACTGGATTTCAGGGTTTTTGCATCAATATGACCATGTACCTTTATTTATTTGATATTTGCTGGATTACTGGCTGGATTATGAACATATCTTATCATAGAGACTTCCCTACAAACACTGTTTCCACACATCTATGTGTTTTTAGTCTAAAATTAAAGGCATGGAGGAAAAACGTGATTGTGCCTGAAACATAAATAAGTTTAATAATTGATGACAAGTTGGGTTTGGTTGCTTTTTACCATTTGTATCTTTAGAATTTTTAGAATAGTTGGAAAAACAAATCAAGTCAAATCAAAACATGGGCATAATGTGAGATGAGTTAAGTTTCAGTTCAAGTTAGACTGAGTGGTGGCTATTCATACCTGCCATATCTGCCTGTGGTCGCTGGTAAAGCATGGTGAACTCATCTGGGTAATTCTCTACCCAGTTCCAAAACGCCTGTAGACAGAGGACAGCGTAAGTGGAACAAGGACGTGTATAAAGCTCAACTATTAATCATTTCTATCAGAGATTAGGAGTGCCCTGCCAGCACACAACTGCAGCAACTGATTTAAGATGAAAATGTCAGATCAAAGAGTGCCAATTGCTGATGTACTGATCTCATAAGATGGTAATGAAGTGGTAACACAATGTTCTCTTGCGTGCACAGAGCCTCTGTGACTGCACCATGCCAAGAGTGTCTGAAGTGTGGCAAACACACATTTAGTAGATTTGTGGGCTACCTTGACACACCTGTGGTGCACTTGGGCATGGGGTGGGATCAGAAAGAATGCATTATTAGAGGTGGATGCATTAGAGGCTGTGACAATCATGGCTTATGACATTCACTACTTTGATCACAGAGCTCTCCCTGCCATGACGCACTGACAGTTTGGGAATCCTATGGAGAGTTTTCCTCAGAGGAAACTTATTGTGGTCTGGGAATATACATATATATATATATACAGTACAGGCCAAAAGTTTGGACACACCTTCTCATTCAATGCATTTTCTTTATTTTCATGACTATTTACATTGTAGATTCTCACTGAAGGCATCAAAACTATGAATGAACACACGTGGAGTTATGTACTTAACAAAAAAAGGTGAAATAACTGAAAACATGTTTTATATTCTAGTTTCTTCAAAATAGCCACCCTTTGCTCTGATTACTGCTTTGCACACTCTTGGCATTCTCTCCATGAGCTTCAAGAGGTAGTCACCTGAAATGGTTT